CATAGGGAGTACACAATCGATTTATAGATACCCAGACGAAATACCTTTTTACCTTAAAATTTGATAGAAGTTATTTTGGTTCATGCAAAAATATCAATAACCATGAGCATGTATTACAATTGGAGATTTTGAAGTTGCCAAACTAAAAAATTTCTTGTCAATTTATCATAAAAAGTACATTTATGACTGACATTCCATCCAAAAACGGAAGAATTATAAATCTCCAAAATAATAGATAAAAATACCGCATTTCAAAAAAACCTGCTAGTGGAGGAAGACCTCCTAGGGATAAGAGACATAGGGGCTAAAGTAGAACTTTGAAAACCAAATATGCATGAAAAATATAAATTATGAAATATTGAAGCTGTTTGAAAATTTTGAGCACAACAACATATATCTCTTGATAGCATTAAGCGTTTACTTTTGAAGATTTACCTCAAACACCGGCAAAATAAAAACCTAGAAACATGGATATTAAAGGGTATAAAAGCTAGGCAGATAGATTCCTTTCTGATGACGTGTGAAGGTTTGTCACGGACAGCAGCAAGCTGATTAGAGGAATTGCACAACAACAATCTTGGAATGTCTGCATCTACTTTTGGCATCTCAATAAGCTGGGGTCCTCGAGGAAACAGCCACTCTACCCTTTAGGGTTACCTAGACCCTGTTTCCGAGCACAATATAATGGATTTGTTTTGTTTGATTTGGTTTTACTTGGCCTTTATGATCTGTTATGGTACTTGCTTTTTAGTCATTGTTCATCCATTCAACACTTTTACTTCTGTATGAACCCATAAAGCCCAAACTTGTAAAACTATGTGATATAATTGGATCAAGAATTTACACCAGTGAAATCGTCAGTCGGCGTCAGTCGGCCGTTGGTATCATTTATATCCTTTCAAGAGGGAAATGCTCTCCCAGAAGTCAATTACAAATTGACAGAATGAATATTCCAGACACCCCTTTCTCTACTTAACACTCTCACACTTACTACGATCTGTTACAAAGAACGGATCCCTAACTGACTAAGGGATAATAGACACACCACTAACTCATAAAAGAGACTGAACTACCCTTTGTTCCTCCTAGGGTAAGTATACTTAATCGTCTTTGCATCAAAACCTGCCTGCAGTAGCTGCAGCTTGTCCTGAAGGTGAAAATCGGGAAAACTTTGGTGTACCAGTTGATAATCTTCCCATGATGATTCAAATGTTGGAAGCCCTTGCCACTTGATCAACACTTCCAGTTATTCTCCAGCATTAATTCTACAATTCAGCAAGGATTTCGGTGCCACTATCAACTCTCCTTCCGTCAATTGAAAAGGAAGTTCTCCGGCCGATAGACCTTCACCCAACACGGGCCTAAGCTGAGAAACATGAAAAACTGAATGAATATTTGCTGAAGGTGGCAAATTCAATCCGTATGCTACTTTGCCCACCCTTTCCGTCACTTCGAATGGACCATAGAATCGAGCAGAAAGTTTCTGATTGGCTTGTGTTCATAGCGATCATTGTCTATACGGCTGTAATTTCAAAAACACCCAGTCACCCTCTGTGAATTCCCTCTCTGTTTTGTTTCTATCTGCTTGGTCTTTATACGCTGCTGGGCTTTCAACAATTGTACTCTCAAATCATCAAGGAACACATCTCTCTCTCTGTAAGCTCGCCACCCTTCACGGTACCTCAGGATTGTTGGGAGGTTCTCTCCCATACAGCACTTGAAAAGGGGAACATTGCAACGATTGATGGAAGGCTATATTATAGGAGTATTTGGCCCATCCCAACCATTGCTTCCATTTCTTAGGGTGTTCCAAAACAGAACACCTCAAATATTGCTTTACACAACGATTTACAACTTCTGATTGGCCATTCGTTTGAGGATGATAGGCCGTTGAATATGCTAGCTTGGTTCCTGACAACGCATACACTTCCTTCCAAAAACGACGAAAAAAAAATCTTGTCTCGATCCGAAACAATTACTTGCGGTACACCATGGAGTTCTATAATTTCCTTTGCGAAAACAGCAGCCACTCCATGAGCATCAAATGGGTGTTTTCAAGCAACAAAAGGAGCACATTTACTCAACCGATCCACCATCACCATGATCGTATCCATCTTAACCATTTCAGTAACCCCTCGATAAAATCCATAGTAACAGCCCAGCAGGAGATCCTCCTAAAATTTTGTTCCGTTGGCAAATTCCACAACCTTCCATAATATAATAATTCAGTGGCTAGCCATTGAAATGTTCATCCAATACCCGCATGGCCGCCAACCAGAGAAGCATGAAATTTCTCCAATAACGTCTTGAGAATGGATGATGACTCGAACACCAATCTGCCTTTGTACCACAATAAGGATTGCCGTAGCTCGAACCCTATATGCACGGTACTTCCCTCCTCAAGTTCGGACAAAATTTTGCCTAACATCGCATTCTTTCGAATCTTGTCTGTAAGTACATCCCATTGCCTCCATTGTGGGCCACCCATGACTGCACATTCAACCTCCATTATGGACAAAGCATCCGCTGCAAGATTATGTTTGCCCACCTTGTACACAATGTCAAAGTCATAACCCAACAGTTCTGTCATCCACTTCTAATACTGATGATCTATGACTCGTTGTTCAAGCAAGTGCTTCAGACTTTGTTAGTCTGTTCCGGGCGATAAACTTCCTTCCTAACAAGTATGCCCTCCATCGTGTCACCGCAGAAACGATCGCCATTAATTCTTTTTCTAGATAGCTTTTTGTCTATGTTTTATCCCCAAAGTTTGTCTGTAAAAAGCCATAGGTCTGCCCCTTGCATCAGCACCGCTCCTAAACCTCCTCTCGAGGCATCTGTTTTGATGACAAATGGTTGATCAAAATTGGGTAATGTTAATATTGGTGCTTCGAAGCTTTCTTCAACCTTCCAAAAGCCGCTTGGGCAGTCCCGTTCCATTCTACATTACCCTTCTTCAACAAATCTGTCTCAGGTTGAGCAATTTGGCCATATCCCACCACAAATTTCCAGTAATAACCGGTTAAACCAAGAAAACCATGCAACTGGGTGATATTTTTCGGTATTGACCATTGTAGCATAGAATCCACCTTTGACTTGTCCATTGCTACCTCTTCTCCTGAAATGATATGGCCTAGCTACCCCACTTGTTGCATTCCAAATTCACATTTCTTTTTGTTAGCATAAAGGTGATGTGATTTCAATACCTCTAATGTTTGCCTCAAATGTTCACAATGCTCAGCTTCAGATTTACCGTAAACCAATATATCATCCTAAAAAACTGACACAAACTGTCAATCAATATTACCAAAGTCGAGGATATGAAACTGTGTGACGCTCCACTGTCGATCAATTTTACCACCTTCTAATCTTCCACCATCCCTTCCAATTTCTATGTTTTTGGTGTAACAAAGCCAACAGAATTCAGAGACGCTGTTACGTCCAACTGTTAGTCAATTATGTATGGTCTTCACTGCCTTCAAAATTTTGTAAAGCATTGGGGCATCCTATTGGTTTGGGCTGGTTGGGCCGGTTCAATGGCCCTGTATGAATTAGCAGTTTTTGATCCTTCTACTAATTCACCTGCCATTACTTCATCAAGACCTCCTCTTCTTGCACCACCAAGACACTGAGTTCCTTCATCTTACAATGGTGTCCCAGGGAGTGTTTTTCATCGACAATGATAACATAACCCTTGGCTCTTCTTAACTGTAATTCTTTATCCGTGAGCTTTCTGAATTCTGCACCTCCTTTGTTGGCGGATGGTTTCAATTTCACCTCTGTCTTCCAGATTCATGTCTCCTGTTTTTTAACAAACATATTCACTTTTGTAGGGCTTAAATCTATTTACAGCCTTATTTCGTTCTTCCTACCATGCACGCTGCATCTATTTCGTTATTTAATCCCGTTGGTGACAGTAATCTTACATCTGCTCGAATTTCCAATAGCAGACCTTTAACGAATTGACTCACATAAACTTCTTCCAAAATTCCTTCGAGTGGTGCCGCCATGGTTACAAATCTGCGCTTATACTCCAGCACTGTCGTTGTTTGCTTAACAGCTCTGTTCACAGAGACTTCCTTCTCCCACCGTCAATAATGCTTTCAGCTCCTCCCAACGTGTGATTGGCCTCTGTGTATCATCCCACTGATGCCATATAAGTGCATTGCCTCTCAACGTGTGATTGCCCTCTATTTTTCCTTCATTACTTAATCGATTCAAAGAAAAATACCTTTCTGCTCTTACGATCCATGAATCGGGATCAGTGCTGCTAAGCACCGGTATTTCTTATCGTCTCCCCTTGATTACCAGAAACGACCATGCTCCGGTGGTCGGTCTTTGTGACGTGGTCGCCTCCATCCACCGAAGTTTCCTCTCCGTTTGCTCGTCTGGTCTCCTCTTGCAATCGAATTTAGGGTATTCAATTGCTGAGAAATGTTGTAATTCTCTTCCACCGACACAAATCTGGCCTCAATTTCATCCATTCTAGATGTAATCGATCTCGTCATCCTCCCAAGAACTTGGCTCTTATACCAATTGATGTAATTTGACCAAGAATTTACCCAGTGAACTCGTCAGTCGGCTCTTGGTATCATTTATTTCCTTTTGAGATGGAAATGCTCTCCCAGAATTTAATTACAAATTAAAAGAATGAATATTCCAAGCCACCCCTTTCTCTACTTAACACTCCCACACTTAGTACGATCTGTTACAATGACACGGATCCCTAATTGACTAAGGGATAATGGACACACCACTAACTCATAGAAAAAGACCGAACTACCCTTTGTTCCTCCTAAAGTAAGTATACTTAATCGTCTTTGCTTCACTATGGTTCAGATAGCCTTTTGAGTGGGTCATATTTGTCTGCATGAGTGGGTCATCTAAGTTGCTATCGTAGTTGGGGTGTACGTAGGGAGATTGATGTATCAGTTAGCATTAAGATTATTTATATGATGTTTTGGTACATGGAGAGTCTAAGGTTGTTTATCCTTTTCCAGGCTGAAAATGATTCAGGTGCTGATGTGGCAAACACGATGATGCAGAAGTTCTGGGATTCAGCTCTCAACCTAGAACCACCAGATGATTATGATGATAGTCACAGGTTATCCCTGTGTTTTATAATTACTGTTTTCCTGTGAGCATGCTTAGAATTCACTATTGAAACTAGTGTCCAAATGTGTTTGTACAGTGAAATGTCTACGTCCATAATTATGCCATCTGATGCTTTGGAAGGAGGGAGGTCATATCCATCTCTTGGTCTTGGGAATTTATTTGCCTTCAAATTTGAAGACTTAAGGGGCCGTGTACACAGATTTAATTTTGGTGAGTTTTATAGTTCCCAACATGTACAAGCCCAGATCCGTCTAGCTAATTTGTTCCCTTCCGTACAACAAATGCATTTTTTTTATGCTGCTACCTGTCTGGTGTTTCTTGCACTTAAGCCGGCATCTTTATTTAAAATGTTTGAGGGTGTTCATACAACTTATGTGATGAATATATTGGATCCTGTGTCACCTTCACTTTTAGTTGATTTCTTTTCGAGTTCGAAACCCAAAGGTTTAGTTTGATATTAGAGGAAAGTTAAGTAAGTTCGCACGTGTAGAGTTTGAATGATATGTACATGTGTAATTCCTTGGGGTGGCTTACATGTGAGCGGGCATGAGACTGGTTATCCCAAATAAGTGAAGTACAATTTATAGTTATAGATGTCATCCATTATAGCCCGTTGGATTTGAGTTGGAACCCCACAAGTTCTGTATGGTGTTCTAAGCAATTAATGCAGAAATTTACGACTTTGATCTGCAGTACTGGGATAGAGACTCTCTTTATATTTTAAGAAGTGAAGCTCTTTCTTTGTAGCGGAGTCGGGGGAGAGAATAGGAAAGGTGATTTCACTATATTTCTGTCTAGGAACAGAGCCTATGACAAAAATACTTTTTTGATTGGGGCAATAGCTCTGAAAACATAGATTGCCCATCTTTTCTTTTATCATACGTAGATAGGGATACTACAGCTTGGTGAAACCCAAGTTATATGTGACAATAATGAAACCAAAATTATAAATGGTGGAAACCCAAAGTTAAACATAAAGAGGTGAACACCCTTAGGTCCCGTTTGGTTTGTAGGATTGGATTGGATTGGATTTGGAGGGATCTTGGAATTGAAATCCATTCACAATCCGATGTTTGGTTTGAAGGATTTCCTGGATTTGAAATCCCATAAGATAGAATTTTGCAATCCTTGGTATTTCACGGGATTTCGTAGGATATGTGTATAATAATGTTTTAAAATATGTTTAAAACACTTGTTTGTTAATAATCAATTAAATTAAAGGTAATTTAATTATTTTTATAATTTTTATGTTTTTTTTATTAAGTATTTATAAAGAATGAAAATCAATTCCATTCCAATATCCTACAAAAGAAACAGACCGTAGATTCTAAATCTTTTCAAATCCAAATCCTTCTATGAAATCCAGATCCCTCAAAATCATTCCATCAAATCAGACGCCCCCTTAGGGTTTCAAAACATGAATGGCATCTTGGCATGATTGGTATCTAAGGACCACACTTTTTAAGAAATCTCTATTCATTACTTCCGAATATCAATCCTGACTGACCTTTATCCTTGTGGTACAAGTCTCCTCTTGTACCCTGTGCATTTCCAAAGCCTAAAAATGAGATGACCTAATCACCTGGAATGTGTTGTTCCTAAAGTTTGTTACTCAAGCCTCTTTTGTGCTAATAAAGGTAAAAGTGGGTCAAGACTTGTATGAGGTATATTTTTGTTACAGAAAGAAAATATAATTTTTTTTCATTTAAAGTGAACTCCATGATCTTTTCATATGAAGGTGGGTAAATTACTAATGTACACATGAGGTTTGGGTATTCAAATTTATCACAAGCTACTTGTGATTTTTTGGTACAGCGGTTGGGTTGGGCACAGGTATTTTTTGCTTGGTCTACTCTCGATTATGTAAAACTAATCCCAAACAGCACAATATTTCATAAATAATAATAATAACAAGGAACGTTTTTCATGGTCTCATTGAAGCTCTTAGACCCTGTTTTTAGCCTTGTTATTATTAACCTTTTGAAATGTTACTATCTCAATTTGGTTATGCCAAAATGCAACTAAATTTTTGTGTTAGTTCCTATTTATTGTAATGATAAATTTCTCAATCAGTGTAAGAAACATTCAATTCTTCTCACTTCATACCTAATTTGATCGGTAACTGTTAGATCTTGTAACTATTGATAATGTGGATGTCAAATTGTCATGTTATATTGTGATTCTTGATTACATGGAAAGATGATGCATCAAAATCAACCGATGCCACTTAGGCTGAAAACCTGGTTATTAAGTAAAATACGTACAAAATAGGAAGAATCGAGACCTTAGTTACATTTTGATGCATTGAACCTTTGATTTACCCGAAGTTGAATTTGACCATTTTCTAATGTTCCAGGCACAGAAAATTTGGGCGAGCTAGTTTCTGCTATTGCTCAAAGGATGGGTAGTAGTCTTGATCAAAATTGCCCTCAACTTTTGGTACGGGATTGCTAGTATCCAAGATTTTTTTTCCATTTTCGTTTTCATTTCTTTATCAATCTGTATTTAACGTTTTGTATTTATCATCATAGTACGAAGATGATGAGGGCGATCGGGTTTTGCTTAGTACAGACAATGATCTGGTTAGTGCCGTTAACCATGCGAGGTCGGCGGGACAAAAGGTAAATATTACCCCACATTTTTTTTAAATTGGTTCGTTTGTGACATTATTGGGTATATTCTTAGAATGTGATCTAGTTGGTTACTCTTAATCATGGCTTTGATCTGATAAATAACAGAATGGCACAAGTCAAAATGGACGTATTTAACAATACCATTATAGTAGGACTAATAAAGGAAAAAGTTTTGGATGGAAACCAGTACTATTACTTGTATGTACCTATGATAATGAATGTATAGGTAATTTTCACTTTGAAATTTCCTAAAAGAAAAATGTTTGACAATTTTCATGGGTTTATTTCAAAAAATTACATTTGTTTCTTGCTAATAATTATTTTGCATCCGTTTTTAGGTATTGAGATTGCATTTAGATTACTCTGATTTTAGCGAGCGGAAAAGAGAATCACAGCCATTGATGGCTATAGAAGAGCAAACAGTAGATACTATCTCAAAATCGAGCCATCTCCAAACTGGGATGTTGGCGAGTGCAGCAGTTATTGCAGGCATCGCGTGTGTGGTCTACTTGAAACGCTCCAACCAGTGATCATCGTTATGGAAGTTTTTCCTTTTATGCGACAAAAATGGCATGAAGCCCAAATGGTGGTGGTTGTGAAAAACAAAACAAATGACCAAATAGATGTGATACCAAAAGAAAGAAAATGCAAATTTCTGTCATCATAAATGTTCATATAGCTACAGTTTTATATCTGAAGTGGTTTTGAGGACCACATACTGATTGATATCTGGTAATCTGGATTCTTTTTAGTCATTTCCTATAAACATTGTACATGAAGTGATTTCATCCAAGTAGATGGTGATTGAAATGATAAGTCAATATGGTCATACCTTCTGATTATTTTGTGATGTTTATATATGCATGCATTGTGCAAGACAAGTAGAGATTTTTTGTGTCTAATTTTCAGGATTTTGGGGATTATTGTGAACTTGTGGTTAACTAAAAAGGAAGACTAAAGTTTTATTTTAAGTTGGCAACTACTTCTATTTGTTTCTTCCATGTTAACCCTACCCATTATATTGAAGATATCCGATCGTATTTTTAGCAAAGATAGAGTTTTATTTTCTTTCTTATCTTTTCTTTTCTTCTAGATATGTTTGTTTTGCTTTCCTAGTTTCTAKCTTGCCTTATACTAGTATATATATCCTTTGATCGATTGGAATTTTTAATAATAAGAAAATAGAGAGAAAGTTTATCTCTCTGATTACCAAATTCTTCATGGTATCAGAGCGGATTCGACACAATTAAGATCATTAACAGCAAAATTCTCATGGCCGGTGGCGATTCGGAAAGCTCCAAAACCAATGGAGAAGCCATCGACACCAATTCTCCATACTATCTGCACCCTTCCGACTATCCAAAACAACTCCAGGTAAACGAATGTCTTACCGATAACAACTTCAATGATTGGAGCCAAGAGATGACCAATTTTCTTTTCGCCAAGAACAAGATTGGTTTTGTTGATGGGTCCCTCATTAAACCCGACAAAACCGATCACARATACATGTACTGGATGCGGYGTGACGCCATGATTAAGGGATGGCTAACCACTGCTATGGAGAAAGAGATACGAARCAGCGTAAAATACGCAAATACAGCACTTGAAATCTGGAATGATTTGCATGAGAGATTTGGAAAAGAAAGTGCTCCAAGAGCATACGAACTAAAACGATCAGTCACGCAGACTCGTCAAGAAGGTACGTCTGTTTCAGCATATTTTACCAGATTAAGAAGCATATGGGATGAAATTGATTTGGTTCTACCGACGCCACGGTGTGAATGTGGTGGATGTAAATGTAATGTCGGAAAAAGAATCACGGAACTCAAAGAAAAAGAAAGACTCTATGAGTTTTTGATGGGACTTGATACCGAGTTCTCTGTCATGAGAACCCAAATACTTGCCACGAAACCAACACCTAGCCTTGGAAGACGTATCACCTGGTAGCCGAGGATGAGCAGCAGCGGAATATTGCTACTGGAAAGAAAGCGCCACCTACTTCTGATGCGGCAGCGTTCCAAGCACAGCAAGTGGGTCGTGACAATCAAAACCATAAGAAGACTTGGCAAAAGACCGACAAGGTAGGCGCTAGCAATAAAACGGGACACTGCACTTTTTGTGGTAGAGATGGGCATGTTCGAGATGGGTGTTTCAAGCTAGTTGGTTACCCGGATTGGTGGCCGGGAAAGGGAGAGAAAGAAGCAAACAAGCCGAAAGCAGCTTTGGCCGAAGCTAACACCAACAAAATACCAGGGCTAAGCGATGAACAATACGAGATGTTTCTCAAAATATTTGGCAAAACAGGCGATCAAAGGACTAACGACATTCCAAGGGCAAACATGGCAGGTAAATTTAACAACGAATGTGACTGGATMCTTGACTCAGGGGCTACCGAATGTATGACCTACGATCGGGAGTCTCTTGAAAACCTTACCACARGYAGCAAAGAAACGCCAGTTATCATTCCAAATGGTGAAACTGTCCCTGTAAAAGGGAACGGCGAACTTGGTTTTAAAGGGGGGATCAAAATCAAAGGGGTTCTCCTCATACCAAATTTTAAATGTAACCTTTTGTCTGTTAGTCGACTAACAAAAGATTTGCAWTGTGCTATCACCTTCTTTCCGGATTTTTTTGTGATGCAGGGCTTGAGAACGAGGGACTTGATTGGAATGGGTAAGTGCATCGACGGACTTTATAGAATGGGGGGCATGCAAGAAGATCGCAAGGCCATGGCAGTTATCACCTCAAACCAATGGCATAAGAGACTTGGCCACCCATCGAACGATAAGTTGTCACATATTTCCTTTTGTAAGGTTGCTAATTCCGAAAAAGTTTTTTGTGATTCTTGCTTAAAGGCAAAATTGACTAGATTTCCTTTTCATGCAAGCACTATAAAGACAAATGGTTGTTTTGATATGATTCACTGTGATATTTGGGGTGGCTATAGAACTTTTTCGTTTACGCATGGTAGCTACTTCCTCACTATTGTTGATGATTATAGTCGGGCCGTTTGGGTTTACATAATCAAACATAAACACGAGGCTAGTGACTATTTGATTGCTTTTTATAATCTTGTTCAAACACAATTCCAAAGGAATGTTAAACGGATTAGATGTGACAATGATGGTGTAGACACCCCAACACAAAACGATGGGCCTAGTAGTCCATTATGTGAACCGACGCAAGTCAATGAGCCCATCGATGATCAAGAGCCTAATGTTGACAACTTGCAGCAGCCAAATAACGAAACTCTTTTGGGCCGCACGTCTCAACGGGCCAAAACACAACCAGCCCGTTTCAAGGATTACGAAGTCAACGTCCCCCCTTCTGTCGATCATGCACACCCAAGCTCCAATCAAGCGTCCTCTACGGTACACCCTCTATCTCATTACATTTCCTATGACAAGTTTTCTRACAAACACAAAGCTTTTCTTACGGCCATCATGTCACATGATGAGCCTAAAACTTTTCTTAAGGCAATTCAAGATGAGAAGTGGCGAGACGCCATGAAACGAGAAATCAAAGCTCTTGAAGAAAACGGAACGTGGTCTCTTGAACAACTGCCTGATGGCAAGAAGGCAATAGATTCCAAGTGGGTGTACAAAATTAAATATAAACCCAATGGCGAAATCGAGCGTTATAAGGCTAGGCTTGTGGCAAAGGGTTTTACTCAAATAAAAGGTTGTAGATTATCACGACACTTTTGCACCCGTTGCTAAGTTGGTGACCATGCGAACTCTCCTTACTTTGGCAGTAAAAAAGGATTGGATCATACACCAACTTGACGTTAACAATGCATTCTTACATGGCGATCTCGATGAAGAAGTATATATGAAGCTTCCGCAAGGGTTTTCAAAAAATGGTGACACACGTGTTTGYCGGCTCAAAAAGTCTTTATATGGTCTCAAACAAGCCTCGCGAAATTGGTACCATAAGTTTACAAATGCCTTGTTAGACCTCGGGTTCATCCAATCCAAGGCGGATTACTCGCTSTTTGTGTATAAGAAAAAGGAAATTTTCGTGGCAGCTTTGATTTATGTCGATGATGTAATTATTGCTGGAAATGACATGAGCATGATTSAGTACACAAAATCTCAGCTACATGACAGGTTTAGCATAAASGATCTTGGTATTTTAAAGTATTTCTTKGGAATAGAGGTGGCTCGTACTAAGGAGGGTCTGGTTCTTAGTCAGCGAAAGTATACTCTCGATATTCTGGAAGATAGTGGCTTACAAGGATGTCGCCCAAGTAATTTTCCCATGGAGCAAAACCTCAAATTGAACAATGGTGAAGAAGAGGAGAAGGTTGACGCAAACCAGTATAGACGGTTGGTTGGAAGATTGCTTTATTTACAAGCCACACGTCCAGATATTACATATTCTGTCAATGTGTTAAGCCARTTTGTCTCTGATCCCCGACAAAACCATATGGACGCTGCCATTCGGGTTCTRAGGTAYTTAAAGACCACRCCAGGCAAAGGTATTTTACTACCACGGGAAGGAGGTCGACGTCTTGTTTCTTATTGTGATGCTGATTGGCTTGGGTGCCCCTTCTCGAGGCGATCACGTACCGGGTATATACTTCTTCTTGGTGGTGCACCTATCTCGTGGAAGTCTAAGAAACARTCRGYTGTTTCACGTTCCTCGGCTGAGGCGGAGTATAGAGCTATGGCCACTACTGTYAGTGAAGTGTTGTGGGTTCGCTCATTACTCACAGAACTCGATGAAACCCCTATGGAAGGTACTACCCTATTTTGTGACAATGAGGCTGCCAAACATATCGCAAACAATCCGGTTTTTCATGAGAGGACAAAGCATGTGGAAATGGATTGTTACTTTGTCCGTGAACGTGTAGAATCAAAAGAAATTCAACCAACGTATATTGATACGAAGCATCAAATAGCTGATCTTCTCACCAAGCCGCTGGGAGCTCAACACCTTCGAAGCCTGCTAGTCAAGTTGGGCATGCAAGACTTACACGCTCCAACTTGAGGGGGAATATTGAAGATATCCGATCGTATTTTTAGCAAAGATAGAGTTTTATTTTCTTTCTTATCTTTTCTTTTCTTCTAGATATGTTTGTTTTGCTTTCCTAGTTTCTAGCTTGCCTTATACTAGTATATATATCCTTTGATCGATTGGAATTTTTAATAATAAGAAAATAGAGAGAAAGTTTATCTCTCTGATTACCAAATTCTTCACATTATGCATACACAATACTTGCTTCCTTACTTGTGTTGTGTTGATCATATTGATGAAAAAATCTACAGTTTGTTAGTGGTTTTAATAGAATATGTGATGAGTTTTGCTTTCATTTTAAGAGATTTATATCAATGGCCTCATCTTCTGGTTTTGTTACTATGACAATGAGTCTAGTAGGATCTACATGTTGTTTTTATTGGATGTTAAAAGTGTTCTAATAAACTATTTTATAGGACTTAAGCTTATAGGATTAAACAATTGTGTATCATATATAAAAATGTTGTAATGAGTTTATAGGTTACATTTAGCTTAGAGGTGTCTAAAAATGTTCTTATGACTCATAAAAGAGTCTTCTATTAGTTTTTTTTTTTTATAGAATACTTGGAGAAATGTCCTATCAAAATAACTTTTTATAGGACATTGAGTTTACAAGATGTTTTTTTTAAATAGTTTCATTAAAAAAATTAATGCATCACGACAAATCGAGTTTATAGGATGTCAAAATTGATAATTGTCCTGATAAATTCCTTTATAAGACAAAAAAATAAAAATAAATATCAAATCTAAAATTGTTATAATAAGTTTTTATGATGTACACGGCTCAACAAGTATTTAAAAAATATTTAAATAAAGTGTCAGTATTAGTTATTTTATAAGACACTTTTAAGAAGTGACACTTATACACGCTCGCTCACACACACACACACATATATATCATTTGACATTTGTTTTTATGGTACTCTTTCAAGTCTTTTGTAAAATAGTTAAGATGACACTTTATTTTAAAAAATATTCTTAAAAGTTTGTTTAAGACGCACAAAAGATTTCTATAAATATATTGCAACACTTTTGGATATGATGCTTTATTTTATAAAATTAGAATAGGATATTTTTCCTAAAAAAACCAATAAATTGAGTTGTTGCGTATTAAATTGCGAGGACACACATTTGGCACTTGATATATACGTAAACAAACAACAACTAATTAATGAACTCACTCACTCACTCACCTGAGCATCTATGTGTATATGTATGTATATATATATATATATATGGAATTAGTAGTAGTAATGAAGTTGTGATTTGATTGAAGCATGCTCGTCTTCCTCATTCTCCTCTTCTTCTTCGGCCTCTTCCTTCTGGGCCTTGCCTTCCTTTTCGGTCTTATTCTCATCGTTCTTCCTTTTCTTTTTCCTTTTCTTTTCCCCCTTTTTACAGCTATCCTTATCGGTCTTGCTGTCATTTTCCTTGTTATTCTCCTCCTCCTTCCTGCAAAAATCAATATTCCCCATTTTCAATCCAATTAATATTCAAGAAGATGCTTGATTTCATGCACGCCAATTGCTTCTCTAATCTGTATATCATAAAATCTTAATTTGCTTCATAAGATTCAGCTTCATGGACCTCAGTTTTTGCATTTTTAATTAATTACTTACTTTATATATATATATATATATATGTATGTATAGCTTCATTGTTTCATTATGAAGAAGCTAGTGTATATATGTAATGTAGACATTAGCGATTTAGATCCATAAATTCATTGGATCTTTTCATTGTAACTTGATAAATATTTCTACATTTCCTACCCATTATTATATCTTCTACTGTCATCCTGTTTGGTTTGCATGATTGTTTTTTAGGGATTTGGATTTCATGTAGGGATTTCGATTGGAATGAATTTGTAATCATTGGATTGTAGGATTTGAAATGGAATTGGATTTCATTATTTATAAATAATTATATAAAAATAATTGATTTACATTTTTATTAATTGATTTATTACAAAACAAATCAACTCTACCAAGAACGAATCAAGATGTGTTCAAGCCAATATATATACAGTAACATGTTCAAACACGAACCATCGTGAGAGAAATGCATGGTAGATCTCATAAACACAACCACCGGCACCGGTACGGGTACGTATCAAGATTGACAGCATGCCGATGGGCTAATTAAAGACTTCAACTCGATGCTATCATCTAAACATAACAAAATGCAGAAAGTTTCGATTTTTTTTGTATAACCATGAATGTGGCCGAATACAACGAAAATTTAATGTTGTTCACTCTTTCGTATATATCAATCATAACCAAAACTTCTTTACTAGCAATCTTACCATCACTTAGCCGAGCAGAAGCAAAGTTTACATCGTTGAAGGCGACTCTTAATCCTCCCATCTTTAAATACGTCTGTTGAATTCATTGGTGTCGATCAAGAAGTCTTCAAGAGTCGCGAGTGTCTTTAGTTGCCGACTAAGAGAAGCAATTGTCTTCTGGCAATCGGCATATTTACTACCAGCCAACGCTAGTTCTGTATCCTGCGTATACCAAAAAGCATATCACCAAGATTTGTTAAGGTTATACCTAGCAGACACACTGATAAGATAGATTACGTCCAGTAAAAACTAGATGACAATGTAAAATGACCTAAAATGACATGTTAAAAAATTACTTGATTCTAAAATATACGAGGCATTTTTCAAAGTACCAAGATTTATTAAGTTGAGATCATATGATAGGGTACTTTCCTAGAACAAAAAACGTCTTTTAGGATGCACAGACGTCCTAATAGATACTTAATAGTTGCATCCTATCTAAAAGCATTACGCAACCTAATGACACAAAAAGTAAATCGTCCTATTAGCCTTTTGAAAAATGTCGTCTATGTAAAAAGACTAATAGAAAACTTTTCAAAATTCCCATTTAGTGTAAACAAATAATTTTTTTTCTTTACAAAATTTTCTATCTCTTGCCCAATATATTTTAAGTTGTTTATCAAGAAAACGGACCTGTTTTACCCTCATTTCCGCTTTTCGGATGTCCGCTTTCGGGTACTGATTTTCGAGTTGTAATCTTGAAATCTCGTCTTCTAGTTCCCGACATTTGGCTCCCATCCTCCCTGATAAAGCTCGTTCCTTTTCGACCTTTGTTTCCAAAGAAGCAACTTTCGGAACCAACGATTCTAATTTTGATTCTAAAGTTCTAACCCGTGATTCTGCTTCACTTTTCTTTGTGTAAGCATCCTCGAGTCGTGATTCCGCTTCTCTCCGTTCGTTACAAATGATATCCAGTTGACTTTTCAACTCCACGACCTCTGTTTTGGACCGTTTTGCCCTCTCGTGTAACGCCTTCCCTGTTGCTTTTGCTGATTCGAGTTCTTTCTCCGCCGTGTCTCTTGCATCATTTGCAGCAATCAACAAATCTTCCATCTTCACCAACTTCGCCTCCACATCTTTGAGCTGATTTTTTGATGTATTAAGCTCGATTTCACGCTCGTTTAAAGCGACCTCAAGGTTCGTTTTTTCCATTTCTACCCTTTTCAACATCTCTTCAATTTCAGACCTTCGATCGATCATTGGTTCCGAATCTCTTGGATCTGAGGGTAATGCTGCAAGTCTTTCCATTTCAAGAAAGTCATCCATGAGATTGATGTCCATTGTAGGGGTTGTTTGGTTACTTTCAAACTTGAAATCATCACTTTCAACGATAGATTGGCTATCGGTAAATGATCTTTGATCATTAGCCACTAATGCTTTTCTAAGGGCTGCATTTAACCTCCGGCATTCGGCTTCAAACTTAGCCGCTTTCTTTATGCTTTCTAAATGTAGCTTACTAGCTTGTTCCGCAGCTTGGTTGCTCAGCTCCCTCTCGATAAACCTTATCTCGAGCTCCTCAGCCATTGAAGCAAGCTCGAGCTTTAGAGCCGAATTTTCTTTCTCAGCCGTTTCAATGGAGGTCAAAGAAGCTTCGGTCTTTTTGGCAGATTGAAGCTGCGAACGGAGGTCAGCGAGCTGCTTTTCGAGTTCTGTTTTTGTTATCTGCCATTCTGAAGTTTTTTTTTCGATAGCTTCATCCACCTTCTCATCCCTTTCTTCTCTTGTTTGTCGAAGCTGTCTTAAACACTCTTTGAGGGCTCCGTCAAGCTGACAAACTCGATCTTCGAGGGTCGAGTTCCGAAGCGTTAGAACCTCGCTTTGCTGTCTCAAAGCTAACACTTCGTTCTCGGCTTTCTCCCACCCTATCATTTCAAAGAAAAGGTAAAAACAAGACACAGATCATTTGTAATATTAACATAAATAAATAAGTTAATTAAGGCTTTTGGCAAACTAGGCTGATAAGTTAGCTGATACTTGTAAGCTCGTAAGCTAGCCATAAGTTAGCTGTTAGCTCATAAGTTAGGCGATAAACCAGTCATGTTTGGTAAAAATTAACTTACAAGCTAGATAACAATGTAAAATACCTAAAAGGACATGTTGAAAAATTAATTGGAAAAAGACCCGTATCTTATTTTAAATGCAACTTAAAGTAGGCTAACCAAACGGGTTATTTCAATAAGTTCAAAAAATAAGCTAAGCTTCTAAATTATCCGGTTGCTCATCTTAGATGAAAGACGGGTACAGTTTGACTTTCAAGGTCAAAAGAACTGATTCCAACTTCAAACTGAGAGTTAATTCTTCAAACTTTTCAAAAAAAATCATAGTTGCCTTAAATCTTATAACAAACAAGAAAGAGCAAAGCCGGTTCTAAAGTTGATTAGGCTTCTAAATTGGCAATGTGCCCAAAACAAAAGACGATACAGTTTGACTTTTTAAGTCAAAACAACTACCTTTCAACTTCAAATGTAGATTTAGTTCTTAACTTTTCAAGAAAATAGGATAGCTACCTTAAATTTTGAAACATACACAAAATGGGGAAATCATATGTGAGCATTCAAATCCGTTCAGATTTCGAAATTCAAAAATGAGGCCATTGACCTCATTGCTCAACTGGTGCTTTTGGAACATATAAAGTCGATGATAAGATTGCATACCTTCGACCGCTTCCTCTGCTACTTTGGAGTGTTGCTTTAGCATGTCTTCCTTGATGCTAATATTCAAAAGAGCCGTTGATAATTTCTCAGATAGAGCGTTAATGCCACCATCAAGTTCTTCCGGTGGTAGTTCAGCCTTCGATGTGACTTCAGGTGATTGAGAACTTTGATTCGAATATATCTAGGATGATTTAAAGAAATAGAAGTATAAGATTTCAACAAACACAATAAAGAACCCTTCTCCAAAAGCATCATGTGAGAGGCAAATTAGGTACACAATGGCCTGCTAGGTGGCTGGCATATGAGGTAGTGCCCACAAGGAGCCCAATTCCCGAGAGAATTGTAACTCCATAGTGTGGTTGCTCGACTCGAACTCTTGTCAGTTTGTGCAAGTATATCACCTCGAACCATTATAAGGGCATAATGGTTCTTGGTGTAGCATTACACCTTCTCTTTTTTGGGGTTTACTTTTCAAGATTTAGTTTTCCATCACCAATTTGTTATTTCCTGTTACTGATTATCATCAGTTTCATTAACAAAGTCAGCTAGCGTAACGTTACTATACAAGGGGGACCCATAGGGGTACGGTTCCCACTAGGCCTTCGCCTTCATATAGATCGTCCAAAGAACATTGTATCCTTAGGCAAAAGATATGGCGTTTTTCTTTAACATTAATCGGTCCGTTCACCATCGAGATTTGTTGAGGCAATCAAAGAATAGAAATCAAAATACACATTGTTCTTCCATAATGCAATTGCATTCATTGAATCTTGAGATTGTTCCAAAAATGGATACCCTTTTGATTTTTGAAAGTCAAACACAAACCTAATAGTTTCCAAATTCAAAATTGATATGAGATTACGAAGACTTTACATTCTTACCCAATTCTTCTATATCTTGTAATTAGCATACATTGTTATGTAGTTGTCTTTATTTCAAGTAATTTTCACAGAATCTTTCGATTCGTAAGTCATTTGTTTGACTCTCAGAAGTCAAACTTATGAGGATTGTAAGCAGCTATGAACTTTTATACTTGCCCTCCTCATTGCTTGCAACCACTTATAATGAACATGAAAATGAGAAAGATGATTTGAGTTGAAATACCTGATCATCCGAAAATCTCTCAGAATGAGATGAAACGGATCCTCCAGAGCTCTCTGTTTCGCCGGGGCTTTTTTCCGACGACTTCCTCCGCCATAACCAACTCCGGCGGTCCATACTTTCCGGCAACGGATTGAAAACCAGACACTAATACCCCCACACACTCACCCTCACACTTCATCAACAATTTCACAAATCTTAATCATTCAAAAACCAAACCCAAACCTTTTCTCTTGATGATCAAAACCAATTACACAATACCGAATTACAATAAAAAAACCTCTTCAAATCGAATTACAACAGGAAAAATGCGAACCTTTTAACATATGCACACAGAAGATAACACAAGATTAGGGTTTGTGGATCGACAAAATCAGCACAATCTGTGTTGATTTTATATGTAATTTATTGAATTGTGATGAGAATCCACAATCTAGACTTCAAAGACACAAAACCCACAACCGAAAAGCCGCTAAAATTGAATCGGAAGCAAGAAAAACGTATATCTTTTTCACATTACCATACCTAAATCATATTTAAATGCATCAAATGCGTTGATCCTGAGGCTTGGCTTAGAATTCACTCACCATACCCATATGTAAATGCATCAAATATGCATAAAGAAAGCTGGATGTATCAATCACGAATGAAAAAAGTGAGAAGAAATATGAAAGAAGGGTGAGGTTATTTTAGAACAGTTGTATGTATGTATGTATGTGTGGGTAGTAGTTTGCTTGGAACCCACAAGTTTGACAAAAAGGGGGTGTGAATTATTCTGAAAGATGTGATTGCACGCCTTGTTGGTTGTGGGGGTGTGAGCACATGCATTGCAGGTGCCAAAATTGACAGAGATGAAAGAAAGGTGACACCTGCTTTTTCCATTCATGTTTCTCTTTCTTTCTTTTTTTTTGTTTTTCAGTTTATTCTGTGAGGCCAATCATCACCTGTGAGGTTTTACAACAAGACTTCATGTGATCAACACCCCATCTTATCATTTGCCTCTCGCCTTGTCACATCATTTTTTTCAACACAACCATCGTCTTTTTTTATCAATAATAATCGTCAACAATGACGGGTTTGTTTGTTTGTTTTCGCTTAAAATGATCTTAATAGTTTATATATCTTATTCAATAAGTCGTATAGGAGTGTCTGTGTGTGTACTATCTATTAAGCCCATGATTTATTCGCTCACTCGATGAAAGGAAAAGTTTGTCCTTTCCCATTTCATTTCCCTTCTAATCGATGCCAACCTCCTATTGTTGCTCCTGATGTTACTCTCCGTCAATTGCTCCTCTTCGCCCCCTGGTTTCACATCATTTATGCCGATGAAGTTTGTGATCAAGATTTCAAATTAAAGAGCCTAACACATGTACAATCAATGGCCTAGCTCTCAAATTCTAATGGATGTTGTACACTCTAACTTCACAAATGTTAAGTAATGTGTCATCAGTTACTCACCATCTCTCAAATCCAATCACAATCTACGTTGTGTCGCTCATTATCATTCTCCTATTTGCCTATCTGTTGTTGAAGGAATTTGTATAAATCTTATAACCAAATGCTTTTATTAATAAAAGAAAACTTACAGAAGATGAACCTACAAATATCCTAAAGATCTTAGCTAAGATAGCTAAGAAATGTATGAATTCRTWAGCTAAATCTAATATGAGAGAAAACCTGATGAAACCTTTAGAAAAAAGAATACAAATGAATTAATACACCTTTTCATTAACCAGGTACACGCTTATATGGTCGGTCAGAAAGTCGGTCAGAATATTTCAATAACGCCCCTTGACTTTTAACATAAATGCTCTGCTACCCTTTGAGTTCCAGAAATTGTGAGGCGCAACCCTCCAGTCCTCCACCTTTCTATACTTGAACACTTTTGCTTCTTGTACTTTTACTTCTTGCACTTTTACTTCTTGCACAATACCACAACACAACAACCAAACAATACAAAAGTTAAGATTGTAAATATAATATCATATTTCAACACCCTTCCTCAATCTTGACTTTTGAATAAATCAATCATTTGAGTTTTGAACAAAGAAAATTATGATGTGTTATACTAAGAGATTTTGTGAAAATATCAGCTGGTTGTTCAGACGAGATTATCTTAACAACTTTTATTAACCCTTTACTAATGTTTTCACGTATTTGATGAACATCAATTTCTATGTGCTTTGTTCTCTCATGAAAGACAGGATTGTTTGCAATTTGTATTGCAGATTTATTATCACAAAATAAGTTGACAGGAAGTAAATTTTTTATGTTCAAGTTTAATAAGATTTTGAGAATCCAAATAATTTCACAAGTAATTGTGGCCATAGCCCTGTACTCGGATTCTGTAGACGATCTTGAAACAATGCTATGTTTCTTGCTTTTCCATGAAAGCATAGAATTACCAAGAAATATGCAAAAACCAGTCACATACCTTCTAGAGGAAAGACACTTACCCCAGTCTGCATCGACGAAAGCATTAAGCAAAAAAATTTCAGACCTGGTAAAGCTAACTCCTCTGCCAGGAGACAACTTTAAGTATCTAAGAATTCTAAGAGCCAGATTTAAATGAGATTGCCTTGGAGCATGCATGAATTGGCTTAAACAATGAACAACAAATACAATATTAGGTCTAGTTGCTAGAAAAAAAATAAGTTTTCCAATTAACCTTTGAAAACCTGTGTGATCAGACAGATATGGATCTTTTGAGCTACTAGAATCTGTTACAATCAAATTCATGTTCATAGGTGTGCTACAAGGTTTACAACCAAGATACCCAAATTCATGAAGCAATTCAAGACAATATTTTCTTTGTGTCATACACAACCCATTTATACAATCTAAAATCTCAATACCAAGGAAAAATTTTAATTTTCCCAAATCCTTTATAAGAAATTTGCTTTTAAGAAATTCTTTAACATTGTTTATTTCCTGGTTATTATTTCCAGTAATCACTATATCATCAACATAAACAAGCAAAATTATGAAAACATTATTAACATATTTTGTAAATAGAGAATAATCATTTATGCTTTGAACGAACCCATTATCAAGTAAACAAGAAGAGAGATTGGCATACCATTGTCTCGGAGCCTGTTTTAAACCATATAATGACTTAACAAGTTTGCATACCCGTTTATCATTAGGACTATAATATCCCTCAGGTAAAGACATATAAACTTCTTCAATTAAATCACCATATTAAAAAGTGTTATTTACATCTAACTAAAACAGACTCCATTTAAATTGAACAACTAAAGCTATGATACAACGAACAGTAACCATTTTCACAACTGGAGAGAAAGTTTCCTCATAGTCTAAACCTTCTCTTTGACTATAGCCTTTGGCTACAAGTCTGGCTTTAAACCTCTCAATCTCACCAGTAGACTTATATTTTATCTTGTATATCCATTTACAGCCTATTGCTTTTCTACCAGAAGGCAAATCAGTTATGACCCAAGTCCAATTCCTATGTAAGGCCTCCATCTCGTCATTCATAGCATTAACCCAATTCAAATCTTTATAAGCTTCTTGAAAAGTTTTAAGTTCACTTGACTTATTCAGATTCAAAACAAAACAAAAATTATCAATAGAAAGACATGAATAGTTAACCACTTTTTCTATTCCATATTTTACCTTCCCTTCAATCACAAAATCATCAAATTTTTTAGGTAACACAGAAGTTCTAGAAGATTTTCTAGCAGTTTGCAACATACTAGAAGACAGATTATGAGTTCTCTTAGAGAAGACGAAATCACCAGAAGAATCATTACTACTTCTGTCTATTTCTTCATGCTGACTAACAGCCTCGTGGTAGGTGCTGGCAGCCGAGTCAGAACCGTTCAATGGTTGCCAACTTGTAACTCGTCCTAGATTATCATCATTACTAGGATTAAGTCTATATTGACTTTCTGAGCTGCCTAGAGGCCTCCTATTGACAGAACTAGTTTGGCTACCTAGCATATCTCTATTATTAGGGTCCGGAGAAATATTATGAGCATATTATGTATTATAATCGTCTCCATTCTCATCATTGGGTAAAGCAACATCAATTTTATCAGACAATTCATTTACAGAGTCAAAAAAGTTTAATAGATTAAGGTCTTTATTTTCAGAATCACTCAACTTATTAGACTACATTTTAAATGGAAAAATGTTTTCATAAAATTTCACATCACGTGAAACAATTATTTTCTTGGAATCTAAACTATAAAGTTTGTATCCCTTTTTTGAATTGGCATAACCCAATAAAACACATTTTTCTGACTTTGGTGAGAACTTATCAGAAATATTTGGTAACACAGTAAAGCACAAACACCTGAAGTTTCTAAGATGAGAGAGAACTGGTTGAAAACCATAGATGAGCTCGTAGGGACACTTACCATTTAAAACAGAGGAAGGGGTTCTATTAATAAGATATGTAGCAGTAAGAATGCACTCATTCCATATGTTAAGAGGGATCCCTCCCTGAAACATAAGAGATCTAGCTACATTAAGTAAATGGCGATGTTTACGTTCAACAACCCCATTTTGTTGGGGAGTGTAAACACATGAGGTTTGATGAATTATTCCTTTATCTTTGAAAAAATCATTTAACTTTTGACTTGAAAATTCTGTGCCATTGTCACTCCTAAAAATCTTAACACTTTTACCAAATTGAGTACTGACCAAATTATAAAAAGTTATGATGTTTTCACAAACCTCATGTTTATCTTTCAACAGAAACACACAAACAACCCTAGTGTAATCATCAACAATAGTCAAAAAATATTTATATCCTTCTCCACTCTGTATATGATAAGGACCCCAGACATCAAGGTGAACTAACTCACCTAGGCTTTTAGATTTGTGAATGTTGGGATCAAGTATGTGCGTTATTGATTGTATTCAAGTTCTCCATTTTATATGCTTTGTAATAGTTAGTTTAATGCTTTCCTTAGTATAAATAGTGTTTAGCTTTGTAATTAGTCATTATCAATTCTGTAATTCTCAGATTAGAGCTGTAATTCTCTCTCAAGTAATACACAAGAGATTTGGTGATAATTTCTCTCTAAACTTCATCTTATTTCTAATTCTTGAAGATCATGATCAGAATTGTATGAATTTGGACATTTCAGTGAACACTTAAATGAAACTTTTCTCTAGTTTGTTTTGCCTTATGGCAAACTTCATAGGGACCACTATCCTCATTAACAATGTTAAGATGATTTTTATGCACTCTTAAGACTTGGTGTGAAGGATGACCAATTCTACTGTGCCACAGTTGAGTGGAAACCAGACAAGACATATTTTTATAGTTTGGAAAACAGGAAGTCTTACAATTAAAATTTTCATCAAAGAAATAGAGACCATCCTCCTGGCTACCAGTCCCCACGACACTCTTTCAAAGAGAATCCTGGACGTAACATTTCGACTCATCAAAACTTACAAACACCTTGTTGTCCTTAGCAAGTTTATGTACAGATAATATATTCACATTAAAGTCTGGAACGACTAAGACATCATATAAAGTGACATTATTAGTTAGTTCAAAATCACCTATTTTATTTATCTGAGCCTTAGTCCTATTTGGATGACTGACCCTGATATCAAGGTCAGAAACATCCACCAGATTTTCTGAAAGTATGGTGTTGTGAGTCATATGTTGGTTCGCACTAGAGTCTATTATCCACCTAGTTTTAACAGAACGAGACATACCTGCCATATTGGCAATGGCTCCCTCTTTCTGATCAATCAAACTTAGGATTTTTGCAACTTGTTCCACGGAG